ACTTATCCGTCCCCAGCTCCATTCCAATGGAATTGCTAAATTCACAAGTGATGTTTAGCAGTTCCATAAGATGGGAGCGACTGGAGGCGAATAACTTGAGGTCATCCATATAGAAAAGGTGGGTCACTTTTGTCCCTCCTTTCCGTAGCTGAAATCCCCTCCCGGAGCCCTCCAGTAAGGTACTGAGAGGGTTCAGAGAGAGGCAGAACCATATTGGACTCAGACAATCGCCCTGGAAGATACCCCTTCTTATCCTTATGTGGTTCTCCGCAGCCATCATCCGCTCGCCCAGATGACAAAGGATCGTACTCTACTGCCCCATACACTGCTCGAGGAAGTCTCTAACTGTACAGTCTATCTTGTACAGTTCGAGGACTCTCTTTAGCCATGTATGGGGCACCGAGTCGAATGCCTTTCTGTAGTCTATCCAGGCGGCGGAGAAGTTCCGATGGTTGCGTTTCACCACTTTGCCAATGACCGCGTCAATGAGGAGTGGTTCCTTGGTTCCACGACCGCCGCCCCGACATCCATTTTGAGCGCGCGACATCACCTGATTTGAATCCAGGTGACGAGTGATTCTCGCGCTCAAAATGGATGTTAGTGTCTTATATATGGTCGGTAGACATGTGATGGGGCGGTATTTGCTCGGGTCTGTGGTACTCTGGCCTTTAGGAACCAAATGGGTGATCCCAGTAGTGAAGAGGCTCGGGAGCGACTTCTGGTTGAGAACCTCTTGAAACTGTCGGGCGAGCACAGTGTGACACACCACGAACCCCTTCAGCCAGTAGTGATGCAGCCCGTTATTATTATTATTATTATATTATTAATGAGTGAGTGATTAACTTGTGTTGTGTTTGAATGTATTATGTAAATGAGTGGAATAAGTATGAGGTGAGTATACTGAGCAGTTAAAAGTGATTTACATTTTATAAACGGCAAGTATAGGTAAATATTATTTGAAAATATTAAATTAGTTTTGATTAAAAAAATAACAATTAAGAGTGTATGTTTAATATTAATGAATAAGTGGTTGAGTTGTGTTGTTCGAGTGTATTATGTAAATAAGCGACCTGTGTATGAGGTGAGTATGATGAACACTTAAAAGTGATTTACATTTTATTCGCGGCAAAAGTAGATAAATATTATTTAAAAATATTAAATTAGTTTTGTATAAAAATATAACAATTACGAGTGAGTGTTTACTATTAATGAGTATGTAATTGAGTTGTGTTGTGTTTGAATGTATTATGTAAATAAGTGAAATAAGTATTAGGTGAGTATACTGAACAGTTAAAAGCAAGTTACATTTTATACACGGCAAAAATAGGTAAACATTATTTAAAAATATTAAATTAGTTTTGAATAACAATATAACTAAAACTAATAGAGACATCATCACACTTATTACTAGTCACTTTTGTAAGTTCAATAATTTCTTTAATTCCTCTTCATTATCTATTTTTAGTGCTTGTTTTCCCTCATTCTGACGAAAAATGGAAAATAACTAGTGGTTAACAAAGAATAAATAAATATTTTTATTTTTTAACCACATGGTATAGCCTCAAAACTGGCGCTAATTAAAAAAGAATTAGGCTATGAAAAAGATTAAAAATCATACATAACCCTGTCTGACACCTTTATGCATGCCAAACCAGTCCGACTAGGCCTCTTTGATCCTGGCACAGAAGCTAGAGTCCCGAGAGAGAGATTTTAATGCCTGTATCAACCCAGCGCTCGTCCTAAACAAGTCCAGTATTTGCCATAAAACATCCCCGTCCACTTTTTCATAAGCCCTTTCCAATTCATTCCATGCACAGAAAACTTCTCTGTGATCATGCGCATGGAAAACATCTGATCCGTACACCCAATCTCTTTCTAAATCCAACTTGCACAACCCAAATTTTTCCTTCATTTTCTTTGATTGATAACTCTTTTAATTAACACCATAACATAGAGTTTTTCCACTATGCTAATCAGGCTAACGCCACAGTAGTTTGAACAGTGCTGCTGTAATTCTTTCCTCTTATATATTGGGGCTATAAGGGCTTGGCACCGGTACCACGGTATTCTCTTTAGTTCCCAGCATGAATTAAATAATGTGTACAATTCCCTCTCAAGCCGTTAGTTAGTTTAGCGTTCCTAGTGATACTCTATCATAACCCGCTGCCCTACTTCTTCTGCTACCGCCTACCTCGTCACTCGTAAAGACGCTTTCAAAGTATTTCTTCTATATCTTTAAACTGGAAACTTCGTTATTCAAAATACAACCATACTCGTCTCTTATAGCATTAACTCTAGGCTGTTAAGAGTATCCCCTGGTAGTCCTTACGAATTTCGTTTTTTTAATTATATTGAAATTATTTCATTTATCATTTTTATCCGCTCTTTCTTGATTTTTCCTTTAAACTATTTCTTTTAATTTGATATTTAGACGTTTAAAGACTGCTTTTTTTCTTTCAAGGTCCTCATCCATACTGCAAAGTACCACCCAAAAAGTTGAAGCCGACTTTAAAGGAAAAATATAATAATTTCATATTCTGATCGGTGATAAGACAGAGTGCAAACTGCATAGACCCGATTTTAAAATTATTGTTTAACGTAGAGTGGTGTCTTTTAGTTCATCGTCGCCATATTTCTATTATTTATTTAGAGGTAGAAATTTAAACTATTTTTAGAAATGTTTAGAAATGTAGAAATTAACGTTAATAACATTATCGTAAGGATATGACTGACCGTGGTCCGTAATATCATGTAAAGTTCAAGCTGATTGACTTTTTATAGTATTGGGTGACAAACTCCCATAGATATCCGCATTTATCATAGTTGTCACTCCTGAGTAGTAAAATGGAATGCCTCGATTCCAGTAAAAAGGGTCTTCGGTTTTCTACACTTACCATACGAAACACAGCAGCAACATTACGCTAATATTTTACGCTGGTATTCTGTGAGAGTGTGGTCCTGCCCCGGTCGAGCAGACCCATTCGTGCTACAACTATACTACGAATTAGATAGCATTAGACATGTCATAGAATGTCTTATCACGTTTCCGCTGTACTAGCCCATACTAATCTGCTTGACTATACGACCACGACGATATAATACGTCTTTACATTAAAGTCCCAAAAAACTTACTAGACTTTTAGCAAGTTTAAAGTTTTTACTTGATAGACTATAAAATGAATTAATATAATATTAACGAACACAAGCTCTGGGAATGAGGTGATCGCTGTCAAGCTGTTTTTAAAATGACTCATAATTAATTGTACAAAATTATTTACTAACTACTAATGGTATGTTATTTCTTCATAGGCCAGAGGTTCTTTTTGAACCAAGGGTAAAAGTAAAAAAAATGACTTAATAATCATTATGAATAATCTACGTTGAAGAAAATTTTTTCTAATATATTGTAGTTTAATTTCGGTCATTTCCATTTTACGATCTAACGGCAAAAACTTTTAGATATATTTTCCTGGTACGCACAATGAATAATTGAAATTTATTATTAGTTTAAATTATCCAAGATAAATAATCTTGAAACAGTATTTCCGACATAGGGGTATTTCTTACCTTCATCCGCAACGTTTTTATTTATTATAAGAAAAATAAATGTCCCTTATTTAATAGTTAACATCGGCAACACAACGAGGATAACGTACGTGGTTTAATAAGTTCGGTAAGCTAAAGCTAAAACACAAAATAAAATTTTATGTGGTGGAGCCATGCTGACTACTGCAATATTATGGTTGCAGCACGAACGGATCGGATCGACCGGGGAAGCTCTTACAGAATACTGGGATACCACGCTCTTACAGAATACTGGCCTGAAATAGCTGCTGGTGACAATGCGTCTGAATTTTGATTCTTAATCGAGGATAAATGTAGATGTCTATAGGCCACAACATCCACTTACCGTCAGGTGAACAATGTGCTAGTTTGTCACCAGTATTCTATAAAATAAAAGTTCTTGATCATCACCGTACCAATAAGCATAGTTTAGGGCGACTCCTTTCTTGAGGAGTCACGACTTAATGAAATAGTGCAACAGTCTTTTGGAGTAACTCTATGATCAGCAGTGAACTTGTATATTGTGATTGTCTGTTGTGTTGAAATGAAAAAAACAAACAAATGTTTTCCGTAATAATGATTTCGAACACCTTACGATGATAAAAATGCAGTTACTCATATTCGATACATAATAGTTAGGTATTTACTTTAAAATTCTAATAGATTTGTCGCCATCACGCGAACAGTGAGTCATTACTTGCTACTGGGAATTTGAAACTTTTTCAAACCTATCAATTACTATAACGATAACTGCTGAATAATATATGCACCTTCGTCCTTAGACCAGGCCACAGAAAAATTGAGTATTAAGAACCTAATAGCTTAACGAGTTAACCATGGCGTACCAAGTAAACAGTATTAGTCAAGTGTCTTGCAAGAGCCTTGCATTTCATACAGAAATTTTCTACGCAGTAGATTCATTCAGGGGGATACTGCTATAAATATTCAATCAATTGTCCGTCTCACATACGAGTCGATTATCGCTTATGTTAGAATGAAATAGAGTTTCTTTATAAGTTGTACCTATAATTTAAAAGGAAGGTTACTCGCTCGCAGTCGTATGCTAGAGTTAAAAGTGAGCGGTCGCCCCGCAATGCTAACACAATCCCAACCGTTAGCAGAAATGCTATCACTACGTCACAACTTTCGGATAACTAAAGTAATTATAATAAGTAAGAAATCGGCAACGATGAGTTAATTAATTTTGAATTTATAGAGTTTTCTGTTTAGTTTATATCGAAGCCCGGACGAAGGTCGCGTCCTTTAATCGATGAACAATTAAACGTGACAGCGTGTGACTACCCGCGTGTACACATACTCTTTTTTATATAAATATTTATCCTAAATAAGTGCCAATGCAAAACCAAGCTTAGTATACAGGGACTAATTTATTCATTATCGAGAGGAATTGTTAAAAAATTGTATCTTCATGGAATATGGGCATCTGTTTAGACACTGGTAAGTAACTAACACTGTATCCGTATGTAATGTAGAACTCATTGGGCGCCAATATAATATCTTTTAAAAATCACGGTTTAATTACTTTTTCTCACAAATTATTTTTATTTATCTATTGAAATATCTTAATTAATATTGATGATGCTTCTTGGTGATTCCTAAGTTGCAGATTCGAATCTTAACGGTTAAACGAACGGGAGTATAATGTAGAACTCATTGGGCGCCAATATAGTATCTTTTAAAAGTCACGCTTTCATTACTTTTTTTCACTAATTATTTTTATTTATCTAATGAAATATCTTAATTAATATGGATGTTGCTTCTTGATGACCTCTAACTAAGTTACAGATTCGAATCTTAACGGTTAGACGGACGGGAGTATAATTATTATTAGCGGCGACAAATAATGAGTGTTTTTACATTTCGCGAGTCTTATTTAGCAGTTTGAAATACTAAATCTTTAAAAAATGGTAATAAGAGATACTAAATAAATAAGGGTAGGTTTAATAACGTTAGGTTAAGGGCACTGGGGTTTGTAGTGGCGGTGTAAGATAATCCACTCCACGATATCATTCCATGGGTGTCGTAGGAACTGACGGAGCAAATGAAACAGACCTGCAGCATCATCTTCTTTATAACAGTTTAAAATAATAAAAAAATTGCGACTGCCAAATTGGTTCAGCAAGATTATTTTATTTCAGCCATTTCCACGGTTTTAGGCAAGTCCTATGGATTATTATTGTGGTGATTAACAACTGATATTGTAAATATATTTATAATACAGAAAAGACTGCACGTGCTATTTACAATATTAAAGCTAGAGACTCACTCAGGGAACTTATGTATAGTATACTTATGTAAGGAACTATTGTAATTTAAACCTTTGTCAAAATTAGTGATACCCATAATTTTAATAAATCTTAACTTGCTGTTTCAAAGTAAAGAGTCTATATAACTAGCGGCTCAATTTTAAAATTTAAATAAAAAGATATTTTAAATTAGATGACTATTTAAAAGTTAATTTAATGTCTTGACTGAGGAATGAGGAAGCTTGAGCTTCCTTAGACTTTTTTCTACTTATAAGGTCTGGGAAAAAGTTACTTCGTATTTGTATTTTATAAACAAATTTAAGACATGTTCTTAAAGTTTAATTTTACATTTAATTATAATATATATGTGCTATTTTGTTCTAAACTTGTTTCCATCTTGTACGTTAATGACATAATCTTGTTGCTGTAGAAATTTTGGGATTTTGATTAAAAAATGCGACAGGTAATTTCGACAGTCCTCTCTTGATGTTAACACTACCCAAAGAATTCTGAAGAGACCGATACAGGTGCAAATCTGAGGGTGCAAGGTCAGTACTTTACGGCGGATGCATTAATACTTCCCAACCAAGCTCTCTCGCACGCAGACTCGACGACTTCAAGCCTCCCGAACAAGCCGGTTTCCGAAAAGGCTTCAGTACCATAGACCACATACATACCCTGCGGCAGATTGTACAGAAGACTGAAGAGTACAATCTGCCACTTTGCCTGGCTTATGTGGACCATGAGAAAGCCTTTGATTCCGTCGAAATTTGGGCGGTGCTACAGTCCCTTTCAGCGGTGCCAAGTTGACTGTCGGTATATCGAAGTGCTGAAGTGTTTGTACAGTAGTGCTACGATGGCTATCCGAGTACAGAACCAGAGCTCGAAACCTATCCAACTGCAGAGAGGTGTAAGACAGGGTGACGTTATATCCCCGAAACTCTTCACTGCTGCATTGGAAGACGTTTTCAAGCTACTGGACTGGAAAGGATACGGTATTAACATCAATGGCGAGTACATCACTCACCTTCGATTTGCCGACGATATAGTCCTTATGGCAGAATCGCTGGAGGACTTAAGCACTATGCTCAATGACCTCAATAGTGCCTCCCAACGGATAGGTCTTAAGATGAACATGGACAAACAAAGATTATGTTTAATGTCCATGTCACACCTATGCCGGTAGTTGTTGGGAGCACTATGCTCGAAGTTGTTGACGAGTACGTTTACCTGGGACAAATAGTCCGACTAGGTAAGTCCAACTTCGACCGAGAGGTCAATCAACGGATTCAACTCGGCTGGGCAGCGTTCGGGAAATTACGACATATCTTCTCGTCAGGTATACCTCAATCTCTAAAAACTAGATTGTACAACCAGTGCGTGTTGCCAGTGATGGACTTACTGATCTGAGACGTGGTCCTTCACTGCTGGCCGTATGAGGACGCTCAAGGTCGCTCAGCGAGCTATGGAGAGGGCTATGCTCGGAGTTTCTCTGCGTGATAGACTCAGAAATGAGGATATCCGCAGTAAAACCAGAGTGACCGACATAGCCCAACGGATTAGTAAGCTGAAGTGGCAATGGGCCGGCCATATAGCTCGAAGAACCGATAACCGATGGGGAAGAAAGGTTCTCGAGTGGCAGCCTCGTACCGGTAGGCGTAGTGTAGGGCGACCCCCCACTACATGGAGTGACGACCTGGTAAGATATGCAGGAAGTCGATGGATGCAGGTGGCTCAGGACCGTGCTTTGTGGCATTACTTGGGGGAGGCCTATGTTCAGCAGTGGACTTGTGAAGGGCTGTAATGATGATGATGATGAACCAAGCTCTCTCAATTTTTGCTGAGTGGCCAAAGATGTGTGTGATATGGCGTTATTATGATGAAAGACCATTCCTTTTCGATCAACTCCGGCCGTTTTTCTTAATTTTATTGCTTGAGGCTCATTAGTTATTGGCAGTAGAGATCCAAATCGATGATTTTGCCCGGCGGTAAAAGCTCATAATAAACGATGCCCTTCCAATTCCACCATACACACAGCATCACCTTATTGTGTGTTCCGGGTTTTGCTACAGTCTGCGGAGCTCGATTATGCTTTGACTATGATCTTTTTCGCCCGTTCTTGTGATCCACTTTTCATCACCAGTGATCAATCTTTACAAAAATGGTTCGGTATTATTACGTTTCAATAGAGAATCGCAAATGAGTACACGATTCATTACGTTTCTTTCAATGAGCTCGTATGGTACCCGAATATCAAGCTTTTTTGTAGAGCCAAACTTTTCCAAATGTGTCAAAACTGTTTTGTGGTCAATCGTCAATTGAAAAAATCCGATCTTGCTCCAATTCTTCAAATATGGCATCGACTTTATCCTTATGGGGGCAACTAGTGCGAACTACATCTTTGACATAAGAATTCCCGGATTTAAAACGCTTGAACTAACTTTGTGCTACTCTTAGTGACATATCTAAAAACGTTGTCTATAAACGTAAAAATTTTTTTTGCGACTTGAGTCGCATTTTTCCCTTTTTTGTAATAAAACTTCAGAATGTATCGAATTTTTTCGTTATATTCATTCATTTTGGCGTACATAAAAACAAAATTGAAGAATGGCGGGAAAGTGATTTTTACTTTTTATTTCTCTTTTTCTTAAATCCAACAGCACAACCAAAGAGACTTTTCTTTTTATATTTTATACAGACAAAATACGAAGAAACTTTTTCCCCGATCTATTATGTATATTTGTTATATAAGGATAAAAATTGTAATTGTTGGAAGAAAAAAGTCTACTTGTGCGCTTCTTGAAGCTTCTTCTCATGAATGGTTGAAGCCATGGATTAGCAGTTGACTTTCAAAAAGTGATTTGTAAAAGCCAATATTAAATAAAAATTTACCAATTTAATATTACCAAGCGTAGCCACTACGGAAAATATCTTCCCTGTGAGCCAATCTATAGGGTATGCAGAAAATGCCTATGTTCCGCAGTAGAATTCGATAAGCTGTTAGAAATAAGAAATGGTTTAAAATGTTTTCTTGAATTTTGATCTAACTGTGCTAAGAAGACATTCAGAAAAAAAAATACTCACTTAAATAGTAGGTATCATTGAATTTCCCAAAACTATGTTGATCCTTGTAAACATATTCACCTCTTTACTCTTAAAAATGACATGACGTTCATACATAGCCTTTGTAATGGGCACGTCGACTGTTGGGTCTTAGTATCCAAAGTTAAACTAACTTATAACCAAAATTCTTTAGTCTCTCGGATACATAGAAAATATAACAAAACATTTCACTGTGTTGACATTTACTATGCAAGGAAACCAAACTTTGTGCGAGAAGTTTTGAAAATACTATAATGTTTAGGTATTTCATATCACACACATACATACATATAAACACACACAAACACAAACACACACACACACACACACACACACACACAAAGTTGTTATGCGCTAAAATGTAATAAATTGTCGGGTTTGGTTAAAATGAAATGTTTTCTACATGAGGAAAAAAAATGGAAATCCTTATTGGATTGTATGATGTAGATATAACATATTATGTACGATAGTTAAAAGAATTTTAAAGAGCTTTGGATTTTGTTAAATAACTAAAATACAATGAGTTTTATCGAACCTGTATAATCAATTAGTTTCAGAGGAGATAGCAATAAACAGTTGCATCAGAGTCGGGGACAGAGGTGTGCTCTACGATGCGCTGTAACAGACGATGTAATGTTTTGATAGTCGATCGTTTCGTTTTGACCTGATCACCTTACCAGTGGGTTACGATCGCCCCGGGCTAGGATAAAAGTAAATAATTGACTCCATATATCTGTTAAAATGAAAAAAAAAATTGCAACAAAATGTTTCCTGCGCTTCTCGATTGCTTTTTAAACTTTGGCAGGCGTTTGTTTACTTTGAAACAACGAAATCGTCTAATGGCGCTTAGTTTATTGATCGTATTGATAAATTCAAGACTGTAATAATGTCGTAAAATTACCGAGACGAGCTTCGAATTTGGCTTGGTTCTGAGCATCGGTGAGGTTGTGCAGAACTCGATTATTCTCTTCAATAAAGTTATCCACTGCTCGTAAGCTACTTTCCGTAACAGTCATCAACGAGCGAACACTTCTTTCCTTATATCTTAAATTATGATAAAATTTATTGTACCAGAGGTATGCGGCTTTA